AACCATTGTGCGACTGCCTGTGGGGTTTTAACTCGAGGCCCAAAGCACAACGGGACGGATGCATCCCGTAACCCGATTGGCGAACTCACTTCTAACATATATATGTACAAAATAACATAACTGACAAAGACAAGGGAGGCAGGAATAACCATTTTTGGCTTAGAAGCCGTCGCCATACAGCCACAACCAATCCCAACAGTGGAACACCTGGGATATGGACCTGAGATTCCTGGTCATTGATTCGAACGCTCTACCGTTGGACCAAGGGATCTATTATCCTGTCAGGTGTGGTTGGGAATATTAATTGTGATATAGAGGCACTCGCCGACCAGGTTCCGGCACACAGTCCTCCCGTTTGTGCCTTGGGGCTCGAATCCCGCCAGAAACCGCTCAACGGCTAGTATCAGAGGCAGAATACCACTACCCAAAAAGACTAGGGAGACTGGCATGGCCGACTAATAAGGCAGAAATCTTGGCAATTCCCTGTCCGTGCTTGCCGTGCTGTGAGGCACATGGCAGACACCGTCGGTAGTGATGGTCGAACTGTCGTGCATCCACAGATTGAGTGATTTACCATGCTCACAGTACAGGTAGTGGTCAACGGCCCGAGAAGTTTTTATTGGCTGTGGGCAGCTGAATGAAAGCTGTAAAGGATTTAACTCACCACTGAGTTCTCCAACGTCACCTTCTGTCTTCTTGTTGTAAACTCCAGATTTTTGCCTATACGTATATATTTATGCACTAGACTTCCTAATTTACTCACTAAGTACTGTGAGAACATGAAGTTAATTCTTTGGCGCTATCCTTCTCAGGATCGACGTGACAGTTGATAGGAATATTTGAGCTGGGATCCGTCGACCTTAGCCAAGTAATATTTGTACCCTGCCAACAGGCAGTTAGCATTGGGAAAAAACTGATTGGTGTACTGGACCGTCCTCAACTGCGTTATACAGTGGTACGAAATCGGCGAAAAATGTGCCTCGATTTTCGCCTAGTGATCGCCCTAGAAGTGTGGTAAATTAATTAGCATTTATTTATTTATAAGTCTGTTGACTGTATGCGTTTAAGCCGAGTACTTCATACTGTGCCGCGTTCAAAATGACTTCCGCGCCGTCTCTAGCCCTCCGCTTGATGCTGCTTTGTTAAGCAGCAAATCTGACCACCTTAATGCTTAGAAGTAAAATCCCGATAAATACACCAGCACTAAAAATCTCGCCCTCCAGCCCACTAATGATGATTAATCGTAAATGCGGTTAATTCGGGAGTCTAGAAATCACTAGGACATGTGAAAGACTGCTTTGTAGTAAACGCAATCCATCAGTGTCTATCAATCCGCCTAAATACGCGCAACAAGTCTGGTCTTTTAATCAAGGGCGACTGGAAAACGCTTGTGCGATTTACACACGCATAAAAGTCTCTTCCGTGATCTGTGTGGAAATGCATTGCCTTTTCTGTTCCCCTCTAAGATGTCCTCGCTACTCCATTGGATGTCATGCCAGCTCAATAGGCCCTCGATTCGGATGCTGTTGGGAGTATATCGGCCTGCATGTCTCCAGTACAGTCTGACTGGCAATGAGTTAATGCAGTCTTCACTTCTATAAAGGCTAAAAAGAGCAGCAGTAAGTATACAGAACAGAGAAAAGATATCCCTTTTAGGACAAAAGTGATTAGTCAGTCAAAACACCTAGCTCGATCGAGTGCTCGCATATGAACTTAGACAGTGGTCTCAGAAACGGTGTTGCATGACTGTTTCTCTAAATGGGTGACCCATGAAAATTGCCGAAATTTGGGAAGGTTAGTCGAAAATGATTAAGCAAAATAATATTACCGACTAAGACAAGGAAGAACGGAATAGTCGTTTCTGGCCTATTAGCCGTCGTCAGCCAGCCATGTCCAACCACGAGGTATGCAGCAGCTGGGGCTTGATCTCGCAACCTGTTGATCAGAACTTCGACGCCCTAACCACTGCGTCACGGTCTCGTTGTCCTGTCGGTTTCGATCGGGTATACACAATGGTGGGGGGCGCTCCCTAAACGTGTTACGAATTTCTCCTAGTTAGTAATATCTGGTTTTTCAACAAATCCGGTTTCGCCAAGTCTCTGTACATCTTTCCGCAATCGCTTTCCTAACTTAGTAAGTAAAAGATTGGATTTTAGTTGAGCAGTCAAAAGCAGAGACAGCGTAATGTGCGACCTACTCTGGTGCTTGCAAGACTCCTCTTTTATGCATTCAACCCATTCTTAGGGCAGTGAGTTCAATTCTTACCTGAAATGGAATATTCAACGTATTGCGCTTGCTAAAGGTCTCGCTGGGCCATCTGACAGCACTGGAGCACGTAAAATTATGTCACATTCTACAGGTATTCAAGCAGACAAGATGAAAAGCGATCATCCGATTACATTCATGCAAGAGGTTCTCTTTGTCTTTATTTATCGCTTCTCCAAATAGGAAAAGGCAACTTTGGAGCTACTTACTTCCTTCACAAGCCTGAGAGCCTTTGTGTATGTCAATCAACAACTTAAAAGCAGTCCTCAGGCCAGCCTTTAAGTGGTTGGATGCTATAGATCCTCCTATTCGGACCTGCTAAAATTATCTGTAGTAAGTTTGCGGAAATGGCCATTACATTTTGAATGGGTTTTGATTTCCTGGCCGGTAGTTAATCCCACGCGCTATTTTATGTCATTCGTATTTGCCGCTACTTGGAATTTTATTAGTAGGCATAAATAAGTGGAAATGCATAACAAACAACGACTCTACGGGATTTATGCCTCGAAGACCTTACGAGCTGTTGGTTCCAAGGGAGGCCAAAAACTATAAACCATGGGGGAATTTCATTTCGAGATCTTACTTCAGAAACTCTGCCATATTCCAAAATCACAACTCTATCAAAGACCTCTGAGAGGTAATCCACCGACGCGTGATTCGATAGCAATGAAAGAAACTCATATAACCTAATATTTACCTTTCAGCAGTTTTACGTTGGAATTCGTGTTATTTTTTATTAAGTTAGCATGAGATAATGAAAGTTAGTCAGATCTTTTCAGCGTATAACATCTATGGAATACTTAATAACTTCGACGCAAATTATTGAGGAAATCAGCGCAAGTCATGTCGTCACTCAAATGACTACATGCAGCCATTTATTCAGAAAAGTTCCGAAGGGTTCTTCCGATCAACTGCTTAAAATATTCTAACTTTTGGAACCGAGCACTAGACTAAGTGAAGAGTGCTTTAAAAAAACTATGTTATGAAGCTCTCCTCCACGATTTCCAATTCCAGTTAATTAGACGGGTGTCTTTTATTGGTCAGTAAGGATTTGATTTCGAGTGGAGCCAGTATCCCGAAGGGATAGAAGCCTCAAAGGGCAAGCTCCGGCCATCCCGCAATATAGTTTGAATAACTCGGCACTTAGATTCCTTAACTCGTCTAGTTCTTTGTTCTGATTAAGGTCTGGGCATCTCCGCCATGTAACAAACACACCGATCTGAGATTCAATGCCACTAGCACTCGTGTCGGCCAGACACCTTTAGTTAATGTAGTATATATATGCGTTCTTAAAAAGTCACTTTCATCTAGACCCTAGGTGGTCTAACTTGAACGCACTTAAATTCGAACTTCATGACCTAGCTCCCATTCACCTAAATGACCACCAGACAACTTCGACAAACTCTCTCAGATTTAACGCTACTAATGTATGACTGGCTTGCCCAGTGACCACGGCTATCTGATACACAGTTTAGGGTTTCGCACAGACTAAGTCTCTCATTCTGTTGTCCTTAGTTTTCCGCTGGTAACCTAGTCCTCCCTCAAGTTATGTCAGTTAGGGCGCATTCCCTCATTCAGTCACCCAAATATCATTAAGATTCGGAGCATCTTTTTATTTCCTTCTACCCACCAAGACGAACTTCGTCTCTTTATCCACTTCAACGTCGTTGTGGCACTCAATAACACATGACTGCGCATGCATAAATGCGTAAATATTCCCGAAAACCGCCGTACCCGCAGTAAAATGAGGAAGTTCGTAGGTTTACGTACCTTTTCGATTTTTCAACTCAAACCTACTTGTACACCTGAACCTTTCTGTGCTGTTATTTAAATTAGCTAAAGTACACACTTCTGGTTCCGGCTTGGGAGAAAGCGCGTCTTTTGTGTCCGTCTGCTGCTTGGTGTCATGGTTTTGTCGATTACACTCATGCGCCTCAATCGCTTTTAGTCGATCGGCACGAAGCATTTATATCTTTCGGTCATATCTAACTGGACGTAAATTCCTCCGAGCTACAAGCTTCAGTAACTGACTTTGGCTCGGGATCTTCTGGACTTTACCCAGAACATTCACTCTACGACAAGCGATTTTGGGGAGCGCTTCATTTTCCGTGAGTCTGTCGATTATTTACCTTTTGCGATTTTTCCTATAATCTTTTTCCTGTCGTTATTTTTCTTGTAAGAAACGCAGCATCCCCCACTTAGAGTTAAGCATCTTTTATTCTATGTAATTTAAATCATTACAAGTCTGATAGACTGTACTGCAAAGAAGTATATCAAATCCCATGAAAATAACTGATGCGGATAGCGCAAAGGGACTAGACTGAAACTGTTGGTAAAAACTATCAACATCCTTGGCAATATAATACAGGTCTTGACGAGGAGTGCGTTGTTTAGCATACAACAGATGAAAGGGGGGAACCAAGTACTAAAAAACCGGTTTTCACGAACTCGCTAATAAGCGAAATCTTATTCTGCACCATTCGACTTGTGAATCAAAAGTCCTTCGGTCAATTTTATAATGTTCCAGATCGATGCTAATTGATGATGAATTATGTACGGATAAATTCAAGCTTGAAAGGATGTGATGAAAGGTGTAAGCCCCGGTATATTTGGGTTCGCCTAAAATGTTCACATACAGCGACATGACTTGTAACTATTGAATAAACTGATCGCAAAAGCAGGCCACGAGAGCAATTGAAACTTTCCTCACACAAAATATTCCAATCCAATCAAGAATGCGTGGAGGGCAGCAGGCTAACTGCTTGCGCATCGTCCTCGTAGAAGGTCCTGACGGCATACATGTGAGCCATATTGTCTACCTTAGCACTTTTGAAGAGGCCCTATGATACTATTGGAGGAGTGACCTCTATATCGTGTGCAGAAAGTCGATGGAGTTAAACATCTGGTGAGCGGACATGTATCTGATGCGGGCGAGACATTGTTCATAGGTTAAGATGCTATTTTCAAGGGAACGTAACCAAGGACTGGGAATTCTTCAAAGAATTTCTGTTGCATCTCATAAAGTGCCACTGTTCCTTATCAAGGCCAAAGAGGACCAACCGACCTCAGTGGCTAACACCACATCCAGAAAAGAGGTCAGTTGCGCGTCCGACCTACATGTGGACACAAATAAAGTTTTGCGATTCTTTAATTCCTTGTATTCAGTTATCAAAGGAGAAGTGGAGTGCGTTCAACCTACTTACGGCTACCGAGAAGATTGTTTTTCTTGAAGAAGCAAATTTTTCAAAAATGAAAATTTTAAGGGAAGCAAATTTCTTGAATCGAATGAGATTTCAATAAAAGTCCTCTTCGCATTCATCGCATAACTGACTAACCCATTAGCTGTTTTGCTTCGGAGACCTCCGGCGTATTGAAAAACTACACACATTATACACATCCGCGAAAGCGGTTGTTGTGCACATCCGACTAATGGCAGACCCGTCAACGTGGCCCAAACGCTCTGGTAAAAGAAACCGATGAGTTAGTTGGAAGGTCGCATCCTCCTATCGACTGCCCAATGCCGTCCTCATAAATGGAATATTGCTTGCAGTAAAATAACTTTACATGGTGCAAAGCTGGAGGGAGCACTTAACGCAAAGCACACTTAGCATACCGTTTGCAGTGATTGTGGAGAGGCCTTCGATAGTTTCTCTCTTCAGCAAGTTGACAGTAATTGCTAAAAGAGACAAACTTCATCAATGGATCCAGAATTTCCTAGTCTGTCGCTTCCAAGTTGACCTCATAGGGCAACAACAATCATGGCATGCAACCACAGGGAGTGGCTTTCCACAAGGTTTAATACGGGAACTAAGCCTTTTTTTCGTGTTACTTTTTGACAGCATGTAATAATTTGACTGTGAGTAGGTCACGTTTTTGAATGGCATTAAGATATGAAAAATCAAATACTAACAATAATAATAATAATGTAGTGTATTTTAGGGTAATAGGCAATGCCCTTGATGATCCTATTGAAAACGGTGCATTCAATATAAATTTTAATTGCATATCGTACTAAACTTTGTCAGTAGCATATTTGTTTACGGAAAACGTTTTACAGTGCGGGACTGCAAAGTGTGCGGCAGGCAGTCTTTTCACTGTACATATGAAATTTTAAGTGCAATTATATACAATCAGCACATTAGCATCTGCGGCAAGGGCATTCCATGGTTTGACCACTCGAACAGAGAAGGAGAACTTCCGCACACCCAGCCTCGCCTGCTGAGTGCGTAGTTTTAGCGGGTGATCTCAGAAGTTGGTCGTGGTAGCAAATTCAAAAAAAATCCTCGAAAGCCAGACTGCAATCCAACCCCTTTACCATGCGGAATGCCTGCAAGAGATTCCGCTGAGTTTCCTGTAACTCAAAGGGAAGAGGTTCCGATTTACTAGGCGGGTTGTCTAAGGAAAGGAGCTTTGACCCCTAACCATCTTCGTGGCCCTCATTTGAACGCTTTCGAGGCAATTTCGATCCTCAACCGCCCACGGTCTCCAGCCTTGTATGCCATACGCCAAATCCTGCCGGACAAATGTTCCGAATGTCTTTCAGAAAGCATCTTCATAAAAATCCACAAACGCACGCTTGATGGTGTATAGTACGGACATAGCGCTTTTTGCCGTTCTCGAACAATAGGCGAATGGTTTTAGGGAACTCGTCGTCAGCACATCGAGGTCCTTTTGGGCTTCGACCTCTTGTAGGGCTGCACCGTCCAGAAAGTAGTCTCTTGTGCTGGCCCATCTGGCTGTGTTGCCTAGACGAGGAATGCTGCATTTACCAACTTGGAACCGCAGGACCCAATGGCTGGACCACTCCTCCAACCGATTTAGGTTCACCTGGAGTCTGTGTTCGTCGGCAGGGTCCTGAATTACACTCCATATCTTAATTTCATCGGCAAACATTGCTGCTTCGCAGTTTAAAGCTCTTGCGGCATCGTCCACCTATATAAGGAACAAGATGGGTTCCAATATTGAACCCTGGGGGATACACTCCCGACCTTAGCAGGCTCTGATTTCCCTTGACCGATGCACACGGCCTGGTGTCGCCCCACAAGGAAGTTTTCGATCCATCTGAGGAAGTTGCCACCCATCCCCGTTTTTTTAATTTTATGTAACAGCCTCTGGTGTACCACAGCGTCAAACGTCTTCTAGAAGTCGATTAAGGCTATGTGGACCGCGTGCCTATCGTCGAAAGCTCGGACCCAGCTCTGAAGAGATTGCAGCAAGTTTGTCGTGCAGGATCTTCCTCTCCGGAGCCCATACTGGCATTTCGATAGCAGGCCGTGAAATGCATCAGCTCATTCTTTAGGATCCTTTTCATAACTTTGCAGAGGATACATGTCAGGTTTATGGGCCTGTAGTTTTTCGTCGATGCCCTGCTACCTCCTTTGTGTAGCGGAGTAATATGTGCCAGCTTCAAATCGATAGAAAGTGTTCCACTGCCAAATGACGTTTGGAAGAGCCTCGACAAAGGCACAGAAAGCTCACTGACAAGTCCTTTGAGAAGCTTGGGTGTGATCTCGTCTGGTCCTGGCGACTTCGAATCGTTCAATGCCTCTAATTCTCTTCAGATAATGCCTTCTGAGAAGAGTATATCACCGACTCTTGGGATCGATAGTTCTTCTGTGGAGGGAGGAAGGAACCTTGCCTCGTTTGTGTAGACTGATTGGAAGAAATGTGAAAAATACGCAGCTTTATCCCTACTGTCAGCTATCTTAACGCCATTAGTAGTCCTTATTAAAGGGATTTGATGCCTGTTCCTTGTACTTCGTCGGAGGTAGCTGTAGAGTAATTTTGGGTTCTGTGATGCTTTTTGTAGCAATTTCTTCTCCAATTCTCGCCGCATTTTTATAATCATCTTACTCAGTTTCTTCCTCTGTGTCTCGTAGGTGTTGAAATATTAAATTTGCCCAATGGCGCAGTATTTTCTCCATAATTTATGCTTCCCGTTGATTGCTTTCTTAAGATTTATATTTAGCCACCCAGGACGTGTGTCCAGTTTTGCGCTAGTCAGTGGGCAGTAGTTGTTGATGAGCTGCAGAAGACATTCTTGAACAGACCCCAGTCATCGTTGGCATTACCCGTAAACAATGAGCCCCAGTCAAGACCGGATAAGGTTGCCCTCAATTCATTGAAGTCGCCCCGCCAAGCATTGCCTCTTTTTTTGTCTGGAGTATGCGAATTGGAGAATAATCCCATATAAGGGCTATATGGTCACTTCGGCCAAGGGCGGCATGGAGGTGATCTCGTCTATGCTGTCTGGTGTTTTCGTAAAAACCAGACCCAGGCAGTTTGCCCTTTGTCCTTCACGTGTTCTCGTTGGAAACATTACATGTTGTGTGAAGGTTGCCTTTAATGTTTTGTTCAGCAGACGGTAATCGAATGCCGATTTTGGACCTGATGCTTGGAGGGTGTTCCAGTTTGTTTCTGATGCGTTGAAGTCGCCCATGAGCATGGTGTTAGTTCGACTGCAAAATTTATCCAACTGCTCCAATAGTTGAGTGTCGGTGATGCGGTCTGTTCTAGGTGGTCGGTAGACAGTGAGGGCATCGAGACACGGGGAAGCAGTGGCCTTGATGGTCAACCAAATAGCTCCCGTGCCGCACACAATCTAAGTGGTGTTTTCCGACGCTGCCAGACCCTCATTCACATACCCAAATATACCACCACCCTCACGATGTTCCCTGTCCCTCCGATAAATTTGGTATACAAGAAAGGCTATTTCGCTATCGCTAATATTACCGGACAGCCAGGTCTCGGTTACTGCTAAAACATCTGGAGACAGATCGGCAAGACAAAGTTTTGGCTCGTCTAGTTTCGATATGAGGCTTTGGGCATTTGTGTGCCCTGCCAACACCTGGCCGCACCTTTTCGGTGTGGCCAGGTGTGGCCAAGCGCGACCATGGCCAAGCCAAATTTGAAGAAATTTTGGAGGACCGCCCAATCGTGTAGGTGACCACTTCTGCATTGCAAAGTGCTAAATTAGTCAAGATATATCCTATATCACTCATAAAGTACCACGAATCTTCATATTGTGAGCAGTGGTTATGTCTCGCAATTAGCTGATTAAGGTGCTTTGTTTAAGTGGGCCAATGCGACGCTCGTAACGAGCACGTCAGTTTTGCATCAGTCGAAGTTCCGGTTGCATTTGTCCCTGTTGTGAGCATTACTGCGCTATCTCGGACGCCATTTTCTCTGAGATCTTCCGTTACGTGATAAGTTCCGTTAATGTCCGTTGATCGTTGTCAGTGACTCAGTGGTTAGGGTGCAGAGTTTCTAGCCAAAAGATGGCGCGACCGAGCCCCAGGTGTTCCACATTTTGGGGTTGCGTATGACTGGCTGACGATGGCTAATAAATCAGAAATGGCCACTCCAGTCTTCTTTATTTTTGTCGTTAATGTTATTCTGTCTATAGCACGCACCGCCGTGAGACTGCTAGTTGGTCTCGAGAGAGAGGGTGAGAGAGAAAGCCCCTAAGTACAACGGGACGAGTGAGTTCCGTAGCACGTTCGGTGAACGCCCCCTGTAATTTTACCCTTATTGTGTGTTTTTGCGCACCATATTTCCGTCGTAATTACGCACGTTCATAAAGCTCAGTTAATATTATATATCCCTATTTTTTGAATACAAAACTACTCTTTTGAGTGTAAGTGCTCATGCTACACTGCTCCCGATTGATGCACCAACCATACTGTCGCCAACCGTACTCTTCTAGATATCTGTCAAATCTGCTATTTTTTAGCTTGAGTTCCATACTATTAAAGAGGACAAGATACGAAGGAGTTGTTGGTCAGTAAAAAAACGTGTATTTTGCTCTGACAGACATCAGAGAATCCTCGGCCTTGGACAGTACAATTTGGGTTTGTGAATCCTATCCTGGTCGCCAGGTTGCAGAACATGTTTATTGTATTGTGCTCTGTGGCCTTATGTAAAAACCTTTCAGGCAGCCTCATAGTGCGATGGTTCGCTCCCGAAATCGCCATCGCGGCCGATTGCTAATGTCACATTTCTTTATCGTACACACCTCCTCTGGAGATGCCGGGATGTACCGGGCAATCATTTCCCTTATCTTCAACTTCCTCAATTTCTTCTGCGCTTTTCCTCTTACACTTAAGTCCTGACATTACAAAACTTGCCCATCATGCGACATCTCTCCAAAGACAGTCAAAATCTTTTTCATTCCGGAGCTAGCCTCGTATGTCCTGTCTAATGTATTTACGAGGACAAGGGATATGGTATAAGCCATTTGTGGACCATTACCCCTCGTCATCGACCATACCCAACCGCAGGACGGGATTATATAATATTTGAACACGGGTACTTTGGTCATTGAGCATCAAGCAGTCAGATTCAGCTCAGTCCAGCGTATTTGATGGAAATAGGCTTACGCCTCTTAAACTCCCTATTCGTCACAAAAAGATCGGAATAATTTGCAGCAATTTAAAAAAATTACAGCGTCAAGTGTACGTAGACTTAGATTTACATAGCTCATAGTCGCATAATCCGCTTGTTGCAGCAGCATGTGTCTGTCAAGTCGATGTTTGAATGCCTTCATAGACGAAGACCTTGCAATCGTCTCAGCAGGTTGTTCCACAGTTCCACGACACGGTTAGAGAAAAAATCCTTTCTCACAAATAATCCTTCCTGCGGCACACGTAGTTTGAAGGGATGTCCCTGGGGGTTAATTGTTGTGGCGAGCTGGAAAATGTCATCACATAGGAGAACACAGCTAAAGCCACACACGATACGAAACTTTATATCTAAACTACGCGCAAATGTCTATAATTCCGGAGGTAGACATTAAGACTACTTAGGCGGATCTCGTAAGGCATATGCGGTAGGTATATAATCCTCTCTATCAATACTGGCAGAAGAGCGAGTCCGTAGCTAAATGTTAGTGGATTGTACTACTTAACGTTAAATAAACAAAAGAGTTGGGTTAAGATTCCAGGTCATGCAAGCCCGAGATTAGGTATGGCTGATTGCCGACTGCGACTAATATGCCTGAAGTGGCCTTTCCGGTTCCACTTCTCTTTCTCGACACTCACACCTGGGAAAAGAAAAAGGATATATCGAGGAAATTTTGGCGTCCAAAAATTACGGCTATGCGTGGGAAGACAGGCATTGCTAAATTCGTCTTGTCAATTACTGTGTGCAGAGGGTTACCAACCTATGATATGACATATTTCTGTCTAACCCTAAACCCAAACAAACTGCTCATAAAAAAGTCAAAACGAACATTCCAAGAGGCGTTATAGTAAAAGATTTAGAATTAAAATGTCACTAAGGTGCCTAGATTTAGAGGAGCACCTAAGCAAATTGAAAAAAGGATTGAAATGTCTGTACAATTTTACTGAATAGAGGCTTAGGCGGAAAAGACGAAGTGAGGGTGTGTCGCAGCGCTACTCTAGCCCAGGTAGTTGAAGTCGCCTTTTTATCATATTTTCCCTGTTCACGGTCAGTACCTAGACCCAAAAGTCATTCCACCAGCCAACGACATTCCAAGGGCAATCCCATCATTTATTAATTCCTTCCCTTTTTCGCTGTCGGCTGCTCTTCACGTGACTTTGCTAACATGTTAGGGGATGCATTCCCTTTGTTTACCATTGTCTTCCCATTTCGATCATTATATTATTCGATACCTTTTTGTTATTTTGCCTTATCATCATACCATCTTATTACCTCGGACGTTGTAGTTCTACTGTGTTTTTTAAAACGTGTGTGTGTGTAATTTCTCTGACACCTACCATGGGATTGTAGTGACCGCATTTGCGGGCCCGGTCTTTGAACTGCTGTAGCGGCCAAAGACGTCAAGGGTAGCACACATCGGAATAAGGAAACGCCGAGAAGAGATCCTGACGGAGGTAGACCTGAACAGAACTGTTAACATCTCTCGAAACTCGTTCACACGCAGAAGAAGAGAGTACGTCGAGTATGGATATAGTGTAATGGAACAACTGATATGAAGAATGTATATAACAAATGTTAATGTACACGAGCAACGAGGAACAGCAAGTGGGTGACCTGTCTGGATGGATAGACGACCCTGCGATACAAGCTAAACAGCCGGTGGGGATGCAGCGCTGTAGGCAACTGCAGGGAAGGGCCGGGGGGAGCCGACGTTGAGTGAGAGAGCGAGAGAGAATCGAGAGCGACGGTTCGTTGCGGGAGGGGGGTCGTCGGTAGCGAGGGGAAGGGACACCGGCCGTCTTCGCCAGCACGCAGTTACGCCATCTCCATCTCAGGTCCGCACGCCAAAAGTGTTCACACATTCAAACAATTCTGTTCGCGCCGAGGGACGTTACACTGCTGCCAGTACCAACAGTTAATCGTACTGTTTGACACGCGGGAAGAGAGGGCTCCAGGCTGAGTATGTGACGTTGAGCCTGGAAGTTTCTGGGTTCATCGTGAGTGTCCCGATGTGGAAGCAGGGCAAATTCAAATATTCTCACATTTTTGAGGTCTGTGGCCGGACCCGTGGGATGTCGAATGCGAGACTCTCGTCTGACATCTGAGCGGAGGTCACCCACGGACCGAAGGAAGACTTGCTCGGAGACCTGAGAGTGGGCAGAGTCTGCTGCCGAGGTTGAAGAGCACGTCAAGGTAAAGACCGGCATTCTCTCTGAGTTCTTGTTTGCGGAGCCAAATTTGGTTGTGCAGAACGATTGATAGTTCATGGGTGCCAAAAAAAGCTTTCCAAGGACGCCCATAGGTGCCGAAAGTCTTGGGGGTTGTGTAAAATGATAGGTGAAGCGATGTTTGTTCTAGGAGTCCCACGAGATAATTCATTCAATGCCCAGTGGCAAGTGCACCAGATAGCGCTAAGTCTAAGTCTACAAGTCAAAAAACGATTACCGACTTCGTATGTCGAGTGTCTAAGGGACTTGGGCCGTTGAAGATGGCTAAGTGGAGGGTTTGTCTAAAGCTGCAGAGTCGGTCGATAGTGGGGGGAGCGATCGCCTGAGGTGGACCGAGCACGAGGCATCACTGAAAGGAACAGTCTAGGTAGTGTGCGAGTATAGCGGAGCTAGGTGTACTGGAGAAGAGGGAGGAATAGGAGCAATGGGAAAAAAGAAGAAATAAAGGGGAAGAGAATGTTAACAAAGTCACTGGGAACGCTGCCAACTGCGAAGGGAGTGACTGGATGAAGGGATTCCCGTGAGACCATAAGCCTTCATTGGTCCAAGGCTCGGCTTAGCCGTGGTTCGTCGCACAGTGGTTGCAGCCAAGTTGGTTTAGGAGTCTTCCATTTAACCTGGATTCGTAGATGCAAGTCCCCACCCATTCAAACGGCAGACCATTTAAATCCCACGTGATTGTGCTGAATGGCAAGCGAAGTCCATCTAACGGCTGGAAACGTTCGTCACATCGCAGTACCGCCACCATTTTGGCACTTATAAATGAATGGTTTTCATGATCGGTGCCCATCGACGCCTGAGGATATCACCGCTACACGATCCATGGCTGCTCGCTCATCAAACCCGAGAGTCTGTTTATTTCACAGTTTATCTTTGCTAAACGCCGTTCCATTGTTCTAAACCTATGGACGCACCAGGTAATCTTCAGATAGCCTAGCGGCCATGTCCCGCCGTTTCGTGGTTCCTATCCTCCCAGGTGGCTAGACTGCATGAACGGCACGAATAACGTATGCATCCGAGTCCTGGCCAAGGCCGCATTACCTTACACGGTATTCATGGAACTTTGTGAGACTAAATGTCGTGTCTTGACAATTGGCCTGTGTATCTACCTGAAAGACATAATAACAATTTTTGGACTCGGGCGCATATGCATTTAATCAAATATTTCTCTGCACGTCATGATCAAGTCCTATTATCGCTCCACCACGGCTCGAGTCTTGGTCCACAACAATCTTTCCCAACCGTATGCTATTCGGTCTGGCGTTCGCCAGGGTTGTATCCTGTCGCCCATTCTGTTCAACTGCGCCATTGACTGGATTTTCGGGAGGGCCCCACACGAATGTGACGGTGTTGAATTTGCATCCGGACACCGACTGACTGATCTCGAGTATGCCAAGATATTGCCTTACTTTCTTCAAGTTTTGGTGATTTGCAGTCTATGGTATCACGGGTGAATGAGGTCGCTAAATCGGTCGGTTTTTCCATAAACGCTGGAAAGACCAAAATGTTGTCAAGCTGCATCATGACCAAGAGAGGGCATCCCTCGAGACTGATGGCTGTCAACTCCGAGAAATAGACAGTTTTTAATACCTCGGGGCGAGGCTGCTGCCGAATGGCCAGAGTAAGGATGACACTGTCTCCCAAATCGATGCTGCCCGACGGGTTTTCTCAAGCCTTGGAAAATGCCTATGGATCCGACGCGACCTCTACACCGCCACTAAGATTCGCGTGTACCGTGCGTCTGTCCGGTCTGTCTTTCTTTATTGTTGTGATTGCTGGGCTGTGCGCGTGGAGGACGAGCAGAAACTGGAGGTATTTGACCACCACTGCTTGAGGACCGTCCTTCGAGTGAAGTACACCGACTTCGTCTCAAATGAGACAGTCCGCGCCCGCTACAACAACACCGCAAGGATAACCCAGGCCATCCAAGAAAGACGACTGAAGTGGTTTGGACATGCTCTTTGTCGTCCAATTCAGGAGCTCAGTGTTACTGCCCTCGATCCGGCACCGTTGCCCCATTGGAGGCGTCGAAGACGGGGTCAGGGGGGTTCGTCAATACATGGCGGTGGTTCATGGATCTTCGGTATTCGGTCTCGGTCGTTGGCGAAGAGAATGTGTGGAACTGTCCAGACCTGCTGCCGCGGATCGTAACGCGTGGATAGGTACAGTTCGGGACATCATTGAGGCCGGCTAGATCAGGCACGATCGCAGCTGTACCAAGTACAAGTTCTCTGCAAGTTGACGCCTACTCCAAGAATACTGTGCGTAACAATAGAGCGCTCTAAATTGACTTGGTCAGCCAGCCATATTTCGTCGGTTGCTTTATCCAGCCAACCATGACTGAAGCTCGTAAAAGACTGTATATCCAAACGAGGCTCCGTTGGAACGGAAGAAAAAAAAACTGTTTCTTTGTATTTACCAAATATACGGAAATTTGCTTAACGGAGTACTATCTGTACATCTGCCAGCCTTTGGACGTAAGATTAAACACCTGTCCCTAAACTAGTTTTTCCGGACCAACAATAACTTTTCTTCGTTTAACAGACCTTTCGATGTAGAGACAGTCTGAATAACAGCGCTTCTTAACCAAATTCCTACCTGTCGGCGGCAATATTTATGTTAGGCCTATCGCTTGCTTCGTTTGCATTTCTCCTCAAACACTTAGCTCACAAAAATCATGTCACATGTCACTTTTTGCCTATTTTGTGAATGCTTTTGATATTCAGTCCACACTGTTCGTTTTTTTGTCGAAACTGGTGCCAATCGTCACCAGTATATAGTTTTTACCAATATAATAAAACTAAGCGACACCATAGAGTGGCACGCAGATGACCTTGATTTCCTCCTCGGCGCAGTCCGGAGACATGTTTTCTACGCCTAACTGCAGATACTATGCCCATTTTTCCTGTCAACCTTGAATTTTCAATGCTTTTGTTCGGGTTTACCTCTTTAAGCAATGGCCGCTTTGCTGGCCAACTATCTACGTCGCCAATCATTGTTCATGCAGTTTTCGGAAATATGTAATGTGCGGCTATTGAGTTCGGACAAGAAGTCACGCCCTCCTCGTCCTAAGTCCCAGTCTTTCGAAGAAAGACGGAGGCTCCAGAAGGGTGCCTCCAAACAAACAGGTGCCATCCCAACCAGGTAATTTTCCTCTTCTCATATATCCTGCGTCTTCGAAGCGAGCTGCTGAAGGATTTCCTCCAGTCCCCGCGTGTAGAGCCAGTCCCACCCCAAACGGCTCAACGTTCGAAGTCAAAAACAGAACCAGAATCGACAGCCACCACACCCTCCGAGACCGGGCGTCATGCCAGGCCTGTGCTGGAAAACGTCATAAAGTCGAAGTAGGCTCTTCCTTTCCACCTTACAAACGTTAGAGACCTCTTGAAGGACTTCTTAGACGCGAAGGGCAGGCCTGATCGGAGGTTGGTTCGCCAACGACCGTCTACAAAGGGTTCTGTTGTAGAAGAGAACTTTCGCTCAAGGCACACCGAAGCGTAAGTTTTCTTTTATTGTCCTCACATGCTTCCTCTAGTCTTCCTCAGCCCGAACAACTTAGCATCTTTGACGAATTACCCTTCCCCGGAAACGGTTCGTGCTGTTTTCCTACTTGTTGGTTGTGCTTTCAGCATATAGCACATCATGTCAAATCAAATATGTTATTTTGTTCATCCGATGTATCTATCAACTGATTAGTCGCCTATTATATTACTTTGTGTCTGCGTTATATTAGATGTACTGACTGCATTGATATAGGCTCAAAATTCGCGCTGATCTTACTATATACAGATGTTGAATAATGAAAAAGCTTGGCAACGTTGTTCACCTTCTGGGTATTTCACGATGATCTGCACTCCAGGTCCAAGTCTAGCGAAAATTTCAAAATAAAGCAGGGCTACGTCTACTGTCCTTGGTTCAGGACGACTTCTGTAGTAATTCGTACTCATTCTAGGGCGGAAATAGGAATCTCCTACCTCCTCTTCTAATGGATAGTGTCAGGAACGATTATGAGTGATTGTAGGGTAAATTTTTGTCAGTATACGCCTACAAATCTTCCGAGATTTTCAGTAAATGTTTGAGGGCATATGTTTGCTTTTCCGTCCACTGCTGCGGTCGCAGACGATCAGCCAAAAAGAAGAGACACCATATACTAGCCTTATTTTCTACTCTACCCCAGCCCTCTTACCAACTATCTTATAACCCTTTAGAAACCCAGACAGTGGATGCTGGCGAAGCTGTGTATAACAATGCAGTGTTTGACGAGGTCGAGGCTTTGGAAGCGTCCACGTATCGGGCAAAGAACACGACAAATAAATTTGAAGAGTTGATGCAGTGGACCCTTGATGGGAAGTTGTGGCGATACCCGATTGACAACGAACAAGGTATGACTCCTTCTAGGCTTCTTTCATAGTCTCCGGATGTACTGTTAATTTCTGCTGCTCCTCATTTCGTGCCAAATTACGATTCTCAAGTTGAGCTAACGGAGGATGGGACACATGGATATTTCCCGATTTCCATTTTTCATAATGATCAGGGACTTTATTTGTCTAGTAGGGTTGCATGCCTGTGAGTATCTAGCTGGGTACCTTTGTGGAATCTTAAGCGCGTTCTTTTGTCTCGTAGTACCTCACCTGACAGTTGTTATATGGTCACTTCACAAAAACACGCTGTGGGCGGCTTCATTGTGTACCTTGATTGCTCAGTCAGCCTTAAGTAGTGTTCAGCAATCATCCTTTCATCTGGTGAGCGTCACCTATTCTATCCTGCTGGTCGTTGTCCTGTTTCCGATGCTACATCCTCGCCTACGGATGTTCGTCGTTGAGACCAGCCAGGAGCTGGACACTTGATTATAGACGTTTGTCTGAAAAGCACAGCAGCAGGAAGTAAATGTACGCTGTTGGAAAAGTGAACGGTGTATAATCATATTGCGGTCCCGCCTCCGCTTTTATCTTGGCATGGTGTCTGGACGCTTTCAACCTACCGTATGATGGGGTCTTAGCTGCGCTAGCCGATGAACGACTGCACCCCCCCCCTTCCGGGAAGACGGGACGTTTGGCAAACCATGTGAATTTTGTAGCCCAACCAGTTACCCTTGTTCCCCGTCCAAGCAGGCACCATCACGTGAAGGTCTTCGGCGGACGTCTTTGGGGTACGCAAACAACACAACTCGGCCATCTAAGGTTCTTTTTAGCATAATCTTATTTGTTTAGGCGTCTATATGGCTTTCTGCAGAATATGTAGTCGCACCAAACGAAAGTCTACGGCCCCATGAGAGCCCTGGTTTGTTAAATGAGGCAGTTTAGTGGCTGACGGTGGGGACAGTTATTATTTTGAACCATCTTGCTTGAAAAATTGCAACTATGTCGAGGTTTCTTGAACCGCCACAGGTGACACCTTTTGCTCCATTACGATGTCTGCGAACACCGCAAACTGCGAGGCTCCTTAGGCGTTTTGCGTGAAGGTGTCAGACTCAATTTCCATAACTAGCGCAGATTACCTAACTTCGACCGGGCGGTCTGAGGTAGTGGCTGGATGGAGGACTACGGGAAATCGACAGCCGTTCACAACTTGACAATATTGCGAGTCTATCGCACCCATTTTTGTTTCTTATCTTAATTGTCCGGACGATGACGAGGATGTGGATGTTAGCACGCTAACCAACGTTCATGTCTCAGCACTGCAGAGTAGGGTTCGGGAATATTTCTCACTTTAACTCATTACTGGGTATTACGCTCGCTTTGCATAATGTAGGACATTTTTCGATGCCAGAAACACGGAGGCCCTGGCCACAATCCTGTTTGGACGCATTGATCTCCTATGGCATGCAAACACGCTTTTGCTGTTTGGCAAGGATTGCATCGACCGGGTACTCACCCCATCCCGGATTTTAAAATGTGGCGTTCTTAGCAAACGGTTGTCATTCCCCTCCTCGATTTCGTCGGCACATTAGACTCTTAGATTTTTCTAAATTGCCAGTATATTTTAATGTTCTAGATTTCATCCATGTCACCCAGAAGAACTGCCTCTAGTTCTGCTGAATTTCAAATACTCCACCGCAGTTAATCATTCTACTTTACAAGTGTGGAAAGTCCTTAACGGACCCCCAGAGGTGAAGTTTCACCTTCGTTCGCGGGGGTTGCACTAAATGTTCGTTTCCTCAGAGGTTCAGCCACGCCTCCCGCCGTTCCCCAGGTCGAACTGATCCGTCACCATCCCTCCGAATTCGCTCTACCACCGTAGCGTTCAGAGGCAACAGCGTACGAACGTCCTAGTCAAAGTTCTGGATTATACCGAACCTAAGCGTGTTTGCCTTTCGTGAATGACCGATTATCTGAGAGCTAGCATCTAACTTTTAAGTACGGCCCTTTTCAGTGACGATGCTGACATTACAGCTCGTGGATACGGTCATGCTAGTAGCTGATGCGGATGTAGGAGCGATGTGCTGCAAGTTTTAGGGCTTCCTACAGTAGTACTCTTGAACGTGATCGAACGTTTCCTGACCACAAACTAATCCCCCCCTCCCCACTTCGTACTTTATTGAGCACGTTTTCGCCTCTTTCTCTGCCCATTATCTCCCAACGCTGACTTTACTTCTCATTCAGACTGGGACACAGAACATGGCACCGGTTTTGAGGACCATGTCTTCCTTAACCGCTTCTTGGACCGTACATCGAAAAAGCCTGCGCCGTTGACCGCCTTCATGGAATTGGTTTGTACTGGACTGGCACAAAACCCTTACCTCGACAGCAGCCAGAAGAGGCAGCATCTGGAGTGGTTCGAGGGATATTTTAAGACCAAGGCCGCACAGATAGAGGCGGCTGTGCGGGAGGAAAAGCGGTTGGCCGAACTGGAGGCCAGAGCAAAGGCCACTACTTAGTGAAATACTTTCAATCCCACTATTGTCGTGCACCGTTAGGCATGTCTCCTCGTCCTCCTGTAGGCCATTCGCGTATTACTGACCTCATTTGCACATAAATTTGCCTAATTTGTCAATTACAGTGTTTTATTCAAGCCAGTTCCTTTTCAACTCTATATTTTTTAGCTTTTGGGTCCTGGATTGGCTCTCTGGCGGTGGTTTACGTTGACTCAACTGTATCGGAATTCCGCAACCCTACCGACGCCGTAATGTACTTTTAGAAGTACAATCGCCTAGCATCGCATGCACCTTGTACGTCCGGCCAGGAAGACTCTATGTTTGAACCCAGGTGTAATTGCTCATTGAAATTACCGCACTGCTAGTTAAGCCATAGATTCACGCTCAAATGAGGCTGTGGGGCCCACGTCTAGTTCTTTAATCAGATTAGATCGGCAAATGCCACCCTCATTCGCCATTTTAGGGCTCTCAAATAGTAAAAATAGGTTCGCCGGGAATCGGTTCTGCTAGCATACCTGTATGCTCGTTTGGATCCTCGATGCGAGTCCCTATCCGAATGATATGCGGTCACGACCTTCTGACTCAAGGTATCGGGTCCCACAAGCCGGTACGGTTAGGCGAACCTTTGTTTGCTTCAGTCACATCATCGTCATAACTTGCAGATGGAAGGCGGTAACTCATCCGACATCTGCGGAAAACGCTGCTGGGTAATTCCGATACCTTTTCACCGGTCTGCATTGTGACAAACGACAGGTAACAAACGCCTTGCTCGAAAGATGCCTTGGGATGGATTAGTAAATTTGATCTGGTCAAACGTAAATCTATTTTCCGCGACCAATCCCAGATCGTTTTAACATCAGGCGTGACTATATCGTTGAGAATCCTGTACCAATTGGGGGAAAGCAACTGACCCCGAAGAATATCTATAATGGTAGAAAGCTGGGTCCCCATGCGGACGGGGATCTCTTTCTTACTAGAGGTGTTTCGAATTTACGAATTATTACGAACCTTGACTCCTATGATTGGTCAAAAAAGCTCACCAGTAAAAATATGGGTGTTTTTGATTCGTGTCAGTATAAGTTCTGGCATAGCACCACGAAGGCCGGTACTGGGTTCTATAAAGTTCCAGGAAACAATCATAGAATGCAGAGTTTAAACACGGATGTAGAATTACGACTATCATAAACATGTAGGGCCCAGTCACTGATCCATGACCACAACTGTCTAGCTGACGTTGCGTGCTGGGGGAATGGAAAGCAGATTCTTATGTCATCGCCAGGTTTGCATTCGCCGCAGTTTCTCGTCAGCAGTGCAATCTCGGATCAGACGAAGGGGGCGGGGCTGTAAGTTCCAGTGCCTCGTGCAATAACTGTGCTACCACGACTAGCCAAGGCCGCAGACTTCTCATAAAGATCAGTTCGCCAGGTTCTTGAACTTCGCAGGCGAACCGCCTGCAGCAGTACATGGTAGCCTCAGAGTTGGCGTTACTTAAAATTGCAACTGAGCTACAGTCAATAACAAAGGTCGGAGCATACTCATCCCAAGATTCGGAAGACGCTTACATTTTCTATTAATGTGGATTTTATGTAAAATGGAGGAAAGGATAAAGCCAGTTACCACTAGAGTATCGGCAGTCAAAAGGCAAATAATTATTAGGGTGTGACACATTTGAACAAAAAAACTCTCGCAGTATATAAACTGAGTGGTGGGGCGGACAATGATTTCGCAAGACTTTAAAACTGAGGCAAAACAGTAGCATTAGTAGTACCGCCAGACAGTAAAATTAAGTCTCAGTAGGACCAGCATTCACAGGATGCGGAAGTCGACAGCAAACAGAGACCGCGATCAGCCACGGCGACAAAAACTTCCAAAAACATCGCGTCCAAACACAGTTAGTTGTCTAAATCTATCAAGAGTATGACGCTACAGATCCATGAACAATGCAGCTGACTCCCGGACGGCCAACTCGTCCCTCTACCTGGCAGTCTGAGCAACAAAAACCCACTATGTCAATATACAACTCGTTAGATGGGGCTGTCTGCAGCGACAGCTGCGGGCGTTGACCACACTCGCATCCGCGCGGCAATTTCTATCCCACCACAACTAGGCCCTTGAAAACCGCAGGCCAATGGGATGGTGGAGGAGAAGCAGAACTGCAGGATGCAGCAAATTGGAAAATCAGTCAAACTCTCACTGGACATTGTTCAGACCTATACGCACCTCAGTCCGCATGCCCAAAAGCCCCGCCGACCACATTCAGAAAGAGCGGAAGTCGGCATCCAGACGGTCCTCACCCTGGCGTATTAGGAATTCAGGCCAGTCGTAGGTTATCTAACAACCACCACCTTTAAATAAACTCCAGACCATATACCTAGCACCCTCCTTCAGGTCAGGTAAGACCCAGCTACCAAAGAGCTACCTGACAAGGGCTTCATTCCTTGCTGTTGTAGTGCCTGACGTAGACTGCCTAGCAGTCAACGGCCTAAAGCTTCCAATTACAGACCACTTACACATCCACCTTACAATTGCACACACCCTCCCGCTCAGCGTGACACTAGGAATGTGCACATAATGCGCCTGTGATACAACCAGTCACGTCTCCGGACAATACTGGCTCGGTTAGAACAGTAGACGCTCCTGAATGCGATCTCACATACAAACTGAACCTGTTACACTCATCGCATGAAGGCGCAATGAGTGGTTTCCATTTATCACGCGTGTAACGCCGCAGTTCTTCAACGAGTGCAGCTGACTCACGTGAAGAAGAATTAGGAGAGCGGAACTCCGCATCAAGTTCACCTGCACGTCCTACACAGACATTAATTTACCATTCCAACTCTCCGGCCGATGCAGACACCATATTACAGACTTGCATCCCTATGGACATTCTTCCCGGCGTTAAATGATGCCGACGGGCAAGTCGGACGCAAGTCGTACGCTCCTGGTCACATAGTAGAGGTCGGCGAGCAACGGCAGGCTGGGAAAACTAAAGATGCACTATCCAACGCGCTGATCACCTAACGGTTTATTGGCCGCATTGGCCGAGCTGGAGATCACGACCCCAACACCGTCCCCTTACTTGCTGTTAGTCTCCTACACACTGATGCAGTTAGTGCCACTACAACGCATCACCAAACAAGCACTAATGATCATAGATACCCTTCCTTCGCACTCACAGCACTGCAGAACATAACAGCTACATGGAGGCGCTTTGTGGATATTCTGCAAAACTTTAAGGCCCCGCCGGCAGACAAGTGCACTGAAGACACGGCAAGGAACAATTTGAAAAATGTACTATGGATTCAAAAGACCCTCAGCGTCCT